TGGCCACACCTAATGTTTTTGCTATCTCTCTGATGGGTTTGTTTTGATTTTTCAGCCTAATGATGGCTTGCTTCACTGATAGTGACAGCTCTTTGGACTTCATATTGAGAGATGACCTCACCAGATTCCAAATGAATATCCCACACTTGAAATGAACTCTAGGCCTTTTATCTGCTCCTTGTAAGTGAAATAACGAGGGAATAACACACACCTGGCTGAGTAGCCAATTGTCCAATTACTTTTGGTCCCTTAAAAAGGTGGAAGGCACATATAAAATGTGTTGTAATTCCTACACCGTTCACCTGATTTGGATGTAAATACCCTCAAAAGCTCAGAGTCTGCACTTAAAGCACATCTTGATTGTTTCATTTCAAATCCATTGTAGTGTTGTACAGAGCTGGAATGCTGAAAATTGTGTCAATGTCCAAATATTTATGGATCTGACTGTATCTCAACAAGGCCGTGAGGGAGCTTTCTCAAATTTTGCGCAAACTTCCTCTTGGGACTGATCCGATTAGAATTTTGTGGTTGAAGGTCACAGGTGACTGTGACCTCACAAAACATGTTTTTGGCTACAACTCAGTAATTCAAATGCTAATTCTGACAAAATTTCACACAGATGTCTGTCCCACTTTTTAGTATTTGTAAATACTTCTCTGGCCATTATTTAAAGTCATATCTCAGGAGCAAAAGGGGAAACATTTGGTCAGATGCCAAATTTGTGACACTAATATCAGGTGCCCATTTTGGAACAGTGCTGATTGTATAGATCGTCTGTGCTGCTGGGAGGAAGATGTGTGTGAACTGTGAAGCATTCATGTTTTCACAGACATGGATGTAAACTGTAACTGCAACTTGACTGGTGTGCAGAGGCATACAACCGCAAGGTGGTAATTTTAGTTTTCTTGTAATTTGGTGCACTGAACCTTTAAGTGACAGAACTTCGACACAACTAATCCTTCTGCCCGGCTTGTTCCAAACTAAGCCTCTGTTTAGTTTCTTAAGCTACAAACTAGCACATAATTGGTGTGCATGCTGCAGCTCTGGTATGTCACCAGACCAGCTCTTTGTGGGGGCTCCACAGCGCCCCATCATGCCTGAGCTTAACTTCACCTCTCAGGGCTGAAACCGCTCTGGTCATGTCCCCCTCTGCCATGTGTTCAAGTCTCCGGTGGTCCTCTGTGGCAGCGTTGGACAGCTCCCCCTCTCCACAGAACACATCTCTTGTTTCCTCTTAACTGGTTCCAGCAGCGCTGCAGTGTTTGTCATACAGTTGGTAATGATTTAAACAAGCTCAGGGCCTCTCCTCTCTCTCCTCTGCTTTCTCACATCGCTCTTTTTCTTCTCGTTCCCATTCAGCTAATCATCGTTACAGCGGGGCTGGATTGGAGGGCAGAGAGTCGCAATCATATGTTCTCTTTTCTTGTGACTTAAAGCTGGAGATTCTGTGATGTTGGTGGTCCTCAGGTCACCTGGGAGTTATGTTTGTCAGTCACTGTGATGTGAGTGCTCCATACTGGATGGTTTACAGCAGTTACCTTTCTCCACAGAGGTTATATTTTAGTGACCTTATGCAACTATATCCATTTTTTATTCATTCCATATCTGCCTTTGTCCAGGGGGGGCCCCCAAATATTTTTGATAGGGGTGACCAGATGTGACCCCTCAAACTCTTGGGGTGGCAGCAAAACCAAAAGCCATCACTGAATTTCAGGAACTCTATTATGCAGGCCCTTTGAAAACTATGTCAATCAGTCCCTCCAGGATTTCACGTGGAATTGTTGCAGCTTGAAAAACTGCGATGCATGTTGTGATGTTTACAGGTTGGGTGTTTTTTGCAGTGAACTTGCTGGGGCAAGTGAAAATTGCAGAAACAGTCGCAATGCTGTCTCGCATTTGGAGCCTGTTATTATTTGCATTTAGTGGTTTCCACAGAATTAGAATCTATTTGTGATGGTAGAAGGAGTGGGTAGAGTGGGCACTTTTGCTGATGTTCAACACAGCGCTGAAGGATCGTCTCTGTGAGTTGCTCTCTCTGCTCAGTTAGCGCCAGCTAACACAGTAGCAGGGGCCAACATCCAACAGCCTCAACAATCACACCAACACCAAAACCTGTACCAGTTGTACAGCTAACATTTTGAGTTCCACAACAGTTCATGTTTTATGGTCCAATGTGTAGGATTTAGGGGGATATATTGGCAGAAATTAAATATTCATCATTATGTTTTCTTTAGTGTATAATCACCTGATAATAAGAATTATTGTGTTTTCGTTGCTTTAGAATGAGCTGTTTATATTTACATACAGAGCAGGTCTCTTCCACAGAGTCTGCCATGTTGTTTCTACCGTAACCCAGAACGGATAAACCAAACACTGGCTCTACAAAGGGCCATTTGCTTTTTCTTGGTGGCCACTGTAGTTCTTCCACATGCTTGGCACACAGTAGAAGTTTCAGTTTGTTGCAATCTGCGACCTCACCCTTAAGGCCCGCTTCCACTGAAGAAGTTCCTGGTACTATTTGGGGGGCAGGAACTTTACAGGAACGTCCTCTCGCTCGGCCTTCTCAACGGCCGTGTCTCCACTGAGAGAGCGGAGTAGGAGGAAGGTTCCTGTAAAGTTACCGGGCTCTGGATGTGACGTAATCGTTGCACAACCATTTTGACCGGGGTGACGCGGCAAAGAAACAAAGAAGAAGAACAACAAAGAAGAAGAAGCAGTAGTACGAAGCAGAAGTAAGAAGAAGAAAGCAGACATAAGAAAGACAATATATCTTGCTTTTCTTCTTAGGACTCCTTTTAAAAATGCGACTCCTCGTCTGCTGAGTTTTCAAAATGCCGGCTATTTTGTCGCTTTCTGTTGACGTCACATCCCGCCTTGAGTATATCCAATCAGCACCAAGTAAACCCCAAGCCCCACCCAGGAGTTTTTCAGGGCCGTTCTGAGTACCTACTCCGAGGCAGGGACTTGTTTAGCCCCTGTAAAAGTTCCGAAACTCTGTCCTTCAAGGGTGGTTCCTGCGGTGGAGACGTGCACCAATGGCCCCGGCCCCGTAAATTTACCCCCCAAGTTCCTGCGGTGGAAACGGGCCTTTAGATGCCACTAAATTCTTTGCACTGGACCTTTAAAGTAAAAGTTTGACTTTTGATTTTGAGAATTAAGGTTGTTGTTTTTCTTGCCAAGAGTCAGACGAGAGGACTGACACCACTCTCATGTTTTTATGGTGAATATGTAGCTACCACCAGCGGCTGGTTAGCATAGCTTAGCATGAAGACTGGAAACGGGGGGAAACAGTTAGTCTGGCTCTGTCTGGTGATAGCAAAAGGCCCGTTTCCACTGAAGAAGTTCCTGGTACTATTTGGGGGGCAGGAACTACTACAGGAACGTCCTCTCGCTCGGCCCTCTCAACCGCCGTGTCTCCACTGAGAGAGCGGAGTAGGAGGAAAGTTCCTGTGAAGTTACTGGGCTCTGGATGTGACGTAATCGTTGTGCTACCATTTTGACCGGGCTGACGTAGGGACACCGTTAGCTGTTAGCTGTGTCTGTAATAACTCCGGTCATGGTCCATGAAAAAAATATTTTTTCCAGCGGATGTCTTAGTTACAACATGATTGAGCTAACTGGAGTAGTTTCATGTCGTATCCGACAACGGGCTGATGTCCTGATGTTAGCTTTGCTGCTGCTGTTAGCTGTCCCTGTCAGCTGCAGCCACTGATGCTTTCTAGACATCGTGATTTCCCAAAACTGAATAAATACCACACATAGCAACACAAAACTGCTTTGCTAGCTCAATCATGTTGTAACTAAGATATCCACCGGAAAAAATATGTTTTTCACGCACCAGCCCCAGCCAGGAGTTTCTCGGGGCCGTTCTGAGTACCTTCTTCCGAGGCAGGGACTTGTTTAGTCCCTGTAAAAGTTCTGGAACTCTGTCCTTCGGGGGTGGTTCCTGCGGTGGAGACACGCACCAACAGCCCCGGCCCTGTAAAATTACCCTGAAGTTCCTGCGGTGGAAACTGGCCTAAAATCCACCCATCAGCACCTCTTAAGATCACTGAATAACACGCCATATCATGTTTGTTTAATCTGTAGAAAAACTGAAGTGTAAAAATGACAAATCACTGTTTGACAAGGGACTATTTTATTTTTATTTTTTATTTTTATGTCTTCACAGTTCTCATCCAAGAAATCGTCCAGCACATAACCCCGTTCAATGGTGATTTATCATTTTTACACTTTGTAAGATGACTTGTTAATCGGTGAGTTTTAAAGGAGCCGGTAGGTGGATTTTATTGGCTTTGGACAGAGCCAGTCTAGCTGTTTCCAGTTTGTATGCTAAGCTAAGCTAACAAGCTGCTGGCTGTAGCTTCATGTATATCTTAAAGACATGAGATTAGTGTCAGTCTTCTTATCTTACTCTTGACAAAACAACCAATAAGCACGCTGTCCATCATGTCAGTCTGTTTCCCTAAGACTTACAATTTGCTCTCGTCAAAGCAGCAGCCTCTCAGGATAAAGCACTGCTGACCTCTCATGTCATCGCCTCTTGCCATCATTTCTACCCACTGTGCATGTTTGATCCTTCCGTCAGCCTCTATATGTCTGACATTTTGTTTCCTGACTCCTAAACATCATATGGTGTTACATTCAAGTGAAGGCAGAATATATGAGCGTCAGTAGAGCTGCAGACTGGAGGAGAACACGAGCCTCGACGTGGTAAAACACACAGGTAGTCGTCAAGACCAGCATTTGATGTAGACCACTTAAGGTGGGGGAGCTGCTGGGCCACAATTACACATACGCACACACACATCTACCTACCTACACACAGGTATAAAAGTTGCCCATGTGTTTCTAGTCTTGCTCCTTATGGGCCACATGATACACTTCCCGTCTCAACAGGAAAACTCTCCTGTAAACCAGCCTCATTAGCCCACTGACCTGTTCTGTGTGTGTTTGTGTGTGTGTGTGTGTGTGTGTGTGTGTGTGTGTGTGTTGCACAGGGCCGACCCCCCTGCAGGATCCAGTAAGCAGCAGCAGACTCCCCCCCAGCGCTCCACAGATGCTGCAGCAGCAATTTCAGCAGAGGAGGACCTGTTTGATGACTTTTGACCCTTCAATTCCACACTGGTTCCACTGGTCTGTACAACGACAGAACAGTGGTATATTATTTGGTAAAGGTGTCATATTTTTATACTGGAGTTATGTATTAAGGTTCACGGATCGCAGTAAAATTATTTCTAAGGAACTGATCCGGTTACAAGGGAGAAAAACAATGTGCTTCTGTAAGGTGTTTTTCTACGACAAGCCTCCAAAACAGCTTTACTTCACTTCACTCATTTGGTGTTTTGATGATGCTGGTGTTCTCTTAGGTGTTCAACCACTTAAAGGATCCCTAAAATCTCAAGAACCACCTGAGGATCCTAAAGTGACACCAAAACCACCAAAATCAACCCTAGAAAGTCATTAAGAATCACTGCAATGATCTTAAGATCCTGATTGAGCCTCAGCAACACCTAAACATTCTAACTGATTGCTAGAACCCCTAAAATCTCCTTCAGGCCCACTACAACCACCGATAGGACACCTAGAACATCCCAAATGATTGCAAGAACTACCTAGAAGAACTTACTACCTCCCGAAGGACTACTTAAACCATATAAAGGAACCCTAGAACCTCCTAAAGGACCCCTTGAACTGCCTAAAGGAATGAAGAACATCCTAATGTGACGCTTCGACCACCTACAGATTCCAAAGAAGTACTAGGACCACACCCTCAAACCACCTTAATAAACCAGGACCTCTTAAAAGATTGAAAGGAAACCTAGATATTATGGAGGATCGCTCAGGTTACGTAACGGAAGTGTGAAACATCCTATAGATTGCTAGAACCACCTAAAGAATTTTAAGGATTGCAAGAACCACCTAAGGGAATCCTAGAACATCATGAAGGTTTCCTTAAGTCACCAATTGGAAGTGTAGAACATTGTAAATGACCACTAGAACCACCTTAAGATCTCAAAGGATTGCTAGAACCACCTTAGGTAATCCTAGAACATCATGAAGGTGATTGCCAGAATCACCGAAAGATGTTAAGGATTGTTCGAATCACCTATAAAAAATCTAGAACATAACCCTAACCCTAATGAAAGCGTAGAACATTCTAAATGATCGCTAGAACAACCTTAAGATCTTAAAGGGATGCTAGAACCACCTACAGGAATCATAGAACATCACAATGGATTGCTAGAGCCACCAAACAGAAGCCTAGAACATCGTACATGATCGCTAGAACCACTTTAAGACCTTAAAGGATTGCTAGAACCACCCTAAGGAATCCTTGAACATCATGAAGCATTCCTGGAGCCACTTCATTTGAGTCTAGAACATCCTAAGTCATTGGTAGAACCACCTAAAAATCTTCAAGGATTGCCCAAACAATCTAAGCAAACCTTACCAGAACCTAAATGATTGCTATAGCCATCTAAAGTAAAACTAGAACCTCATAAAGGATTGCTGCAACCACCTTAAGATCATAAATGATCACTACAACCACTTAAAGGAACACTAGAACATTATAAATGATCGTTAGAACCACAGTAAAATCATAGAGCATCTCTAGAACCAGTTAAGGCAACCCTAACTATTCCTGTAGGATTTCCTGAACCACCTAGAAAAATTAAAACCTCATAAAGAATCACTACAACCATCTAAAGATCCTAAATGATCCCTGGAAACACCTACAGAAACCCCAGAATATTCTAAATGATTGCTGGAAACGCCTAAAGGAACCCTTTAAATCTCCTACACCTAGGACATCCCAACTGATCGCAACAACCACCTAAATGAACCCCAGAAAATCCCATAGGCCCACTTGAACAGCCTAAAGGGAGACATAGAACACCCTAACAGGTTGCTAGAACTTCTTCAAGATCCTAAAGGAATACTCAAAACACATAAAAGAACGCCTAAAATCTCCCTTAGGCCTTCCTAGCACAATAGATCTTAAATGGTCCCAAGAACCACCTAAAGGAACCCCTAAAATCTCCTTCAGGCCCACTAAGACCACCTGTGGGATATCTAGGACATCCCAAGTAATTGTCTGCCACCTAAAGGAACCCTACAGGAACCTGAACGATTGCTATAACCACCTAAATTAACCCTAGAACCTTGTAAAGAATTGCTGCAACCACGTTAAGATCCTAAATGATTAGTAGAACCCAATAAATATTCTGAAGGATCTCTAGAAACACAGAAAGTGGCTCTTCTTCCTAAAGGATTGCTAGAACCACCTAAACAACCCTAGAACCTCCATGATGTGGTGTCTTGGAAGGCCACAGTGAGCCTAATGTCCTGTATGGAAGATTCCGCGTTCACTGTGTTTCTCCACTCATTTATTTCTTAACCCTGTCGCCTGTCTGAAGTTCTGCAGGATTATGGTGTATTTTAAAAGCTGGGAAGAACTTTTAACTTTTGTAATGTGCTTCATGAACTGAAAATGAATTGTGATTTTAATATTTGTAATAAACAGTGTGATCATGTTATTTTGTCATATAAATTAGGTTCTGTGTGTGTTTTTTTAAAAGTTACCTTTAAAGGAGAACCAATTTTAAATGTCAAAATCAATGTGCTAATCAAGGGACCTGAGTCAAGCTTGTTTTCAATGATATGCAACTCTGGACTGTGAAGTTAAGCAAGACTTGTGGTTCTTCATACGTGGCTGATGGTTAACTAGTTGTGCACCATGCTCATACTGGTTCTCTCAGTTTGAGGGCTTTGAAGGCAGCGGTGGACTTGAGAGTAACTAGTTTGTACAGTGTGTTGTCCGACCACATCTGAAGGCAAAAGGCGTCGTTACGGGGCGTGATAATCGTTTAAATGTGGGAACAATGCTGCACGGTTTCAGACTGTCTCTCCTGGAAGGCAGTCATAGTGTTTCATCCTGTCCAGGGGCAACTTATGGTTATTCTCAGTTAAATCAGCTCCACTACAGCAGTTGCTTTTATAAATTGAAAGCTTTGTGATTTAAGAGGCTTTTACAACTGTCGGATACAAAAAACCACACTGGTAACTATAGTTTACCAGTACGGCAGCACAAGTACTTCCCATATGGGGTTTTGTCCATATCCAGTGCTCAAAGTGGGCCAAGACACGCCAGTACACGGTATTGTTACTTCTACTTTTTACTCTTTGGTGGACCGTTACTTTGCCTTCTTACAAGCTGGTCTATCTATATCAGGTTCTTAATTGATGGCCCCATATGAACTGCATTACCCAGGGGGCAACGGGGAAATACGTGGCGCTCACCTGTTCCCATGCTCGCCTGCCTGCTTTCTTTGTCGGCAGTGAGTCTAACATTACATTACAGTAATGTTGGCCCGGCTTGAAAAATGGCAACACAAAGAGAGTAGAGTCAGAGGACGAAACATATCAAATCCTACGTTAATAAATGCAGCCCGGGAGCAGCAGGTTAATGTTATTCTCACTCCTATAGATGTTTTCCCATTTCCCATTTTTGCGCCAATTCATTCCATTGAGAATTGCTTGCCTTGTGCATACACTGACAATTAGTTTCTGGGTTTACTTCCACAGTTACCGGCCTGCTGAATATGAACAGTGGTGTTTCTTCTGCTGGCCCCGCACTCAAGTTCTCACTAAGCATTAATACCATAGTCTGTATTTGTCAAGCAGTAAAGGAAACAGATTAATGATGCTGGTTAGCCAGTTAGTACATTAACAACACAACCTGATGTGGAAAGAACAAATTATATTTACCGCATGCCAGTGAACAGTAACACATTTTCGAACCGTCTCTGCGAAAGAGCTCATTGGCTAAAAAATAATCTCACTTAATATAACAAGGTTTTTTTAATATATCTCACTCCCTCTTGACTTTAGCTCTTTGTTTACTTTCCTCACTTCCATTTCTCTTCTTGTGCACTGAGCTAAACTGCCAATCAGAGTGATTTCACTTATTGACAGGCTCCGCTGCTGATTCAACAGGCTGACTCGACCAAAAAAAGCTGACAAGGGCCAATGTTGCAGGACACACCGCAAAAACTTTGGTGACAGACGCTCACAAATGGCCCGATATTGACCAAGGGCCAATATTGTCAGGGCCCAAACACAAAAACTTGACTCACTCACAGAAAATTAACCTGGAATGGTGTGTTCACTGGTATTGCAATATGTTTTTAAATCTGTGGCGTCCTGAATGTTTTATGAACAGCCCGGACTTCTCAGACTCTATTAGCGAGTTACTGCTCAGAGGGAACTCATTCAGCGGCTCCTCTGGCAGCAGCACAGCGTCTCTCCCTCTCCTCCCTTGCAACTATTAACTATATTGATACTACTAATATTGTAATACAAATACTATTAATATTGTAACAGAATCTGAATCTCACTCTGAGTTACTGTTGTTGTTCACAAACTAAAGAAATGAGAGATCATTTTAGTTTTTACTGAATATTTGAAGGTAAACTGTACTAATTTGTCATATCGTCAAAAATATCGTTATCGCTAGAATACCCTGAAATATCGTGATATTATTTTAGGGCCCACCCCTAGAAGAGCAATATTAAATCAGTGCAGTGTCCCTTTAATGTCTCTCAGTGTCTCCCTCCCATTCCTTCACTCCTCTGTCTCTAACACTCTCTCCCACTCAGGCTTCCCCCTTCCTCACTTCCTCCATCTCACTTCTGTCTCCCCGCCCCTCCCTCCTTCTCCCCCCGCGCTGGGCGGTGTATTATCGGGGGAGGTGTACGGACATGTGCGCCCCTCCTCTGCCTAATGTCTGGATAATAGCGCGTGTAAAGTGGATTTGAACTTGCAGCCGGTGCTGAGAGGAGGAAGAGGTCCGAGCAGCAGACATCACTGCAGAAACAGGCGCTGTCGCACTGTGTGCGGTTTGTTTGGGACCTGCGTGGATTTTCTTCTGGAAAAGTTTGAAGTGATAAAGCAGCACGAGCCAAGTGGACTTTTAGATTTTTTTTTTTATTTTTAGGATTTACAAGGTAAGATTTTCAGTTTTCTTCCTGCACAGAATATTCTCAAAGTGTGTCTAAATCTTACTGAAGATGCAGGATTCATTTAGATCTTTACTGTAAATCAGTGCAGTGATCTGCATGTGTGCATGAACCCGCCTGAGGAGCAGATCTGTTGGCTGGGCAGGAATGTTCCCACACTGATAATCCCTCATGATAAGACATCCCATTGATAAAAGTGACAGTTGGGACCAATTAGGTCCATTTACATCCATTCACAGTCTAACCACTTGATCACTTGATAAGCTTTATCACCACAGCTGGGCTCTCTCTGCTCCTGCTGCAGCTGTGGTCACATCTGTCACTGAAACTTCTGCCTCTCTGGCATCTTAAAAGTGATATAATTAACTATAATCGTTATAAATATATAAAACTCTGTTGGACAACCAATGTTAGGAAATACTTTCCAGCAAAACATCTAAAGCATAGATATAAAGTACAAAAGCTCAGTACAGTCAGTGTCAGGGATTAACTAGTTACATGTAGTTACTGAGAAAAAAAAGAAATTAAAGTTTCTTATCAAAAATATTGGTGACATCATTACATCTGAATTTTACTATTTTATTTATTTTATTTTATTTTTTGTAAAAAGTTTATATTTATAATTTAACATTCATTATTGCTTTGCTATTTGCTGTTTTCTTCTGCCATATTTCTGGACATTTTTTAGGCTTTATTCCCAAGTTTGTTAGAAAAGTAATCAAATGTAATAAGTTACATTACTTTGAAGTAATTTAAATTGCCACATTACTTTTGATTTTGATCTGTACCCTTTTACATTTCAAAAGTAACCTTCCTAACTCTGGATACAGCACAGAGTTTATTTACAGGTCACATATTTAAACTGTGCAGGGTTACAAATATTGTAAGAGTGAAAAGAAACTTATAATAAATGATATGTGGATAGTGTAGTAATGTGAGTACATACAGTTGGTAAATCAAAGCTTACATGCAGTGGAAGGTGTACTAGAGCTGTAACAGCAACAGGAAGTTATTAAGCAGCGATTTTGATAATAATTTCAGTCAGTTTTTAATCAAAAATTCCAAATATTGCTGATTTTATTTGTCTTATTTTAAAATAAATGAAATATTTCAAAGTTTTGGACGGCTATTGGGACTCCAGTAAGGGCACTTTTTTTCTCCATGTGTTTTATATTTGATAGTGAAAACTATTTGTAGATTAATCGGTGATAATTAAAATCATTTCTAGTTGCAGCTCTTCTCAGATTCTGTTCTTTAGCAGAAGTTTATTTCAGTAAAAGTACAGAAGTATTGTCAGCTAAATGTGCTCTAAGTATTAAAAGTAAAAGTACTTATGGTGCAGCAGAGCTGTCCCTGCAAGTGTCATATTACATATTATAATATTAAATGACATGTTCTTTACTGTGTTGAGACAATCTTTAAAGTCCCTCTTGAGCTTAACTGTGCAGGATGATGTTTGTTTTCACATCACTGTGCTGGAGGAGGATAGTTTCTCTGAGCTCACCTTAAATCTCAGTTTACCATCTGGCTGTACCTGCAGGATTTGTGACATCACAACTAGTTTGGAGCCAATTAGGGTCCAGTGTGGAACTTGCATCACCAGTGTGATGTGGAAACATACACTGAGACTTTTCAGTGAAGTAGGAGACCTCTTGTGTCCAGCAGCTCAACTTCTGAGAAAATATTTGGGTATTTTCAAATTCTGGATTCATCAATGAGAGAAGGGAGGAGGAGATTCAACTTGTAGAGATTTTAAAGAGGCAACTTTAGAAAAGTTTTTTGGGTATTATTCAAAGCAGAGTATGTTTTTATGTCTTAAACATGTCTGAGGGGAATCGTTGAGTAAAAGAACAGAAGTCAAAATATCAGAATAAAGGTACTTAAAGTATCAAAACTAAAAGTACTTATTATGCAGCAGAACTTCCCCCTATCAGAGTCTTACTGTCATTCATCATAATTAGGGTCCAGGCAGCTAAGCTAGGTATTCTTCTTCTTTCTTCTTTCTTCTTCTGAGGAAATCATACTTCCCATGGGTGAAAACTCACCAAACTTTGCACAAAGGTCCAGTCTCATGCCAGATATCCTCAGCTGTAAACTCAAGCCAATAGTCCTGATGGTGGCGCTACAGCAAGCGCCTAAAGTTCAAAACTTTGAAAATTCATAACAAATCAACCATACGTGCTACAACTTCGCAAATTTCTTCAAACTGTAGCCCCAATACTGAAGAAACTTTTGTACATTTAAACCTATTAAAAATTATGAAGTTCATCACTCTGTTTTTTTCAAAAACTGTAAAACTTCTTAAACCTATCTCCTCCCACAATTTTTGCTCAATTGACACCAAACGTGCTACAGAGCATCTTCAGACTGTCCTACAAAAATGACCCACACATATTTTTGATTTATCAAAAATTGAGCCTGCAGTGCATCAAAATGTTTGACTGTAAACGGTACTGTAAACATATACATGCAAATTCTTGCTAAATAATTCTTCAATGTTCATGAAAAAAAGACAAAATTCTAGAGTCATGGTAGATGATGTGTGGCAAATTTCGGAATTTTATCTCAAAAACTGAATTTTTGACAGCATTTTGAATTTTGCTCTAATGTGAACAATTGGAGTCAATGTAAAAATGGTAATTTTAAACATCAGTTTTTCACTTATGGAGCAAATCAATCATTGTTACAAACAAATTACCAACATCTCCATGCTGTCTAGATACAATATGTGTATTTTCAGATTTTTGTTTCGATAACTGAATTTTTTACAGTGGTTTGAAATCTGCTTTTCCATGCACGGATGGCTGCTAAACCTGCACATCTGGCTTAGTCAATCTGTGAAGCTACACATGAATTGTCACTGACTAATTAGCTCAGTGAGATAGAAATTGATTCTTAGTCTCAGATGTTGTGAGTTCAAGCCTCAGCTGATGTAAAAGGCAGATTGTGTTGCTAAATTCCTAAATGTCTTCCAGTTCTTCTGCTTGTTGCTCAGAATTGCCTAAAAATGCCTGGACCCGACCCATCACTGCGCAGCAGCTATAATATGGTTTTATTATTACTTTTTTTTTTGTGTAAGCCACACTTTAATGTTCCTCTGGTCAAAGTGGAGCTAATTTTAATCACTTCTTATGTATTTTTATGTATTTTTTTATCTGCAAAGTCACTTAAACTAAGTTAATTAAAGTTGGAACTCATTATTGTTTTTATTATCAATGAATCTGCAGCTTGTTTTCTCCATTAATCGATTATCTGATTTGTTGTATGCATGTTTTGAGTTTCCACAGCACACTCAAATGCATTCAAACTTCTTGTTTTATTCAACCAACACTCCAGAACTCAAATATAATCAGTTTAATATCACATATAGAAAAGAAAAACATAAAATGTTCACTCTGGAATTAGTGACAAATAACAATTGCTCCAGTAATAAAATCGTTGCCGATTATTTTCAAGTAGCAGAAAATGGAAAAACTTAAGTAACATACCTCAAAACTGTACTCAACCTCCTGCGACCATGTGAGAGCCTGGTCTCACTCTGAAGTCGTTGAAATCCAGCCCTTGCGGTGACTTGCAGCGTCAGAAACCAACAAGAAAAGGCGTCCTTTAACCTTATACTTCATTCTGCTTAACTGAGACCTGCTGTCCTCATTCGTGGACACATGTATGCGCCATCTAGTGGTAGCAAGACCACAATACACTAATGAAATAAGCCGTTTTATACTTTATTGCACATGAGTGACTACTACAATGAGCCCATCGTCCTCATGAGGACATCAGTTCAAAAACTACTTCCAGTTCAAAGACAGTGCTTAGTTTTCTACACTTATCAGGTCCCTCTCATCCCAAATAGCTCAGAGAAAAACACACACTAAACACAAGTTCAGGTCTCAGGAGGTTAACTATCAGTGTTTCCTCTCCATCCCTGATGTTTGTATTATTTTATGACTCTGCTCTCTGTCTCTCCAGATTGTGTTGAGATGCTTCTACACGTCCTCACACACCTGCTCTGCCTGGTGTGTTTGTGTTCCGCTCGTCCTCAACCAGGTGAGTCCAGTCCAACAGAAAATTAAAAGACTGAAGCTTAAATCCAAAAAACTCCATCACCAATATTTTCCCCTCCTCGTGCTCTCTCTGTTTCTCTCTGATGAAGACGTAATAACACGTGAGACAGGTTTCAGGTCCAACACTGACAAAGTGGAAAATGATTATTACTCCAACACAAGAGGCTCTGAACACATGCTTTCCACTCATCCCTGGTTACACACACACAAACACACACACACACATGCAACTTCCTGCATCTTTGTAGCAGGAATCAGTGTGTGGGAGCCAGAGTCTGATTGCTGCTGTGTTTGCTGCCAGTTGTAGAAATGCTCCAGATACTTTTCAATGGCCCCAGAAAAATGGATCTTTTCTTGTCTGTCAGCCTGATGCATTACTCATGTGTTCATCCTGTTTCACACCAGTTTGGGGAAACTGAACATGTACTCCAGGCAGAGCTGCTGGGTTGAAAAGATTAAGGAGGGCGTCTTCTGCTCCTTTGATCATCTTTTTAAATAATCAGTGTTGGAAAAAGTACTCAGATCTTTCACTCAAGAAAAGTAGAAATACCACAGTGTGGAAATATGGTTACAAGTGAAATTGATGCATTCAAATTTTTAGTAAAAAAACAACAGTATTGGCATCAAAAAATGAATAAACCTGGCGTAGGCAGTTTTCTGATAAGGGCAAAAAAACAGCAGTATTTGAAAATACTCTCTCCTCCTGCAGCTCCACCCTCTCTGTCTTAAGCTCCTCCCACCAGATGACAGTTACCCTGTGTTTCCCATCTATCTGTATTTATCAGACCACAAATGAGACAAGAATTAGCAAGCTAACCCTGCGGGACTGCTTCACCAGGGAGAGAGCGGGTAACTGGGTCTTCCTTGTGTAACAGCAGCAACAGAAAGTTTGCTGATCCAGTGGGAAGTCGGGGCTTTCAAAACCACCGCAGTTGGGATTTGTGCTAACTGGATTCGGCTTGCTGTGGCCGCTAACTGGGGCTCCATCTCCGCAGCTGTTGCCTGCTCTCCTCTTGGCGAGATGGTCTGTGGTGGCGGGGAGCGAGGCGGACAGGCTTTAGCTAATATTAGCTTCATAAACGTGAACTTGAAGCCACAACAGTGAGCCTTTAATAGTGATGCACCGATCCGATATCTGGATCGAATATCGGCCCCGATATCATCAAAATAGATGGATCGGGTATCGGAAAATGCAACCTATACCTGAGGCGATCCTTTCCCGTTAAATCTATTGTGACGCGAGCTACGTCATACGTCATGGAGCAAAGGAGAGAATCTGCTGTGTGGAGGTATTTCACACTATTTCAACTGCTGCTGCACAATTGTTTATTTTTGTTAAACATAAATAGTTCATCATTGCATTAATTTTGTTTCTTTTTATCAATGCCTGATGCATCTAGTCTTTTCTGTTCTACATGTAAAGGTATATAGCTTTTTAGGTTAACCATGGTATCGGATCGGTATCAGATATTCAAAGCCACAGCATCGGGATCGGGATCCAAACTGAAAAAGCTGGATCGGTGCATCTCTAGCCTTTAACTAAAGTTACTAGAAGGCTAAACTATTTGCAACAAGTTTTATTTGGTTTATTGTCAGACTCTCTTTCTGATAAGTCCATCTTCATTGTTTGGGTTGCTTTGCTGTGTCGTTGCCAATGCTGGAATAGCAACTTTCTCTGCAGGATTCTCCACCATTGAATCAGGCTTTCACCATTTGAAGGGACGTGCACACATGTGCATTTGTAGAACAGCCAATAGGAACGCCCTCTCTCTGAAATGACCTGTCTCCCATCACGGGCTAGATTTTCTAAAGCCTGAAAACAGAGCCAAGAGGAGGTGCAGGGGTCTACTTTTCTCCCAGACCACTTGAATTACAATAAACTCAAAGTTTATTATGGGATTTTAGCCCAGTGGAGCCAAAATAAAACTGCCTGCCCCAGCTTTAATGCATCAACAATTAACATCCAGTATTGTTCTGAAATGGGCCATTCTCCATAATGAGTACTTTTGGTATGTTAAAGCTGGATTAGACAGTTTTATTTTGATGTTTTTTGGCAAAAATCCCATAATATGGTCTGAGAGAAAACTCTAATATGTAAAAATATTCTCTAGTTTAGCTCCTAAATGAGAAGATTTTCTGTAGATCTTCGACTAAAGTTGCTGTTTCATGTTATGGCTCACACACTCATGCAGGATCCTGTCTTCCAGCACCACCACACACAATGACGATACACACGAACCCTCCTGTGACCGGCTCTCTGGCAAGCCGGGTGGTGCTTCCCTGCCACTTCTCCATCCCAAGCGGCCCGACACACACTCCTCCACCCGGACCTCCCGTCCCCGCCGCTCACACCACCCCGAATCCCGCGGAGGAGCTCAGGATCAAGTGGACCAAACTGGAGGAAGCAGGAGAGAAAGTGGTGCTGGTGGCGCAGGGAGTGGTGGTGAAGGTGGGGCAGGACTACAGGGGCAGGGTGTCGGTGCCCAGCCATCCGCTGTCTGTCGGGGACGCCTCCCTGATCATCGTGCGGCTCAGGGCCAGCGACGCAGGGCTTTACCGCTGTGAGGTCATGCACGGGATGGAGGATACCCAGGACACCGTCAGCCTCAACGTCACCGGTGAGTACAACAAACACACCCTGCCAACTCTACACTTTTATTGGTCAAATTAACAGTCAGTATGTGACTTAATCCAGATGTGTGAACGCACATACTGTTTTCTTTAAAGCTGCACTAATTTGAAGGTCTTAAAATGAGGTGTCGTCAGCCATATTGTTGGCGTTTTGCTATTTTGAGGCAGCAGTGAGTGATTGCACCACTGACCAACAAAATCCTGGTCTAAAGTCAGAATGGCGCAGCATCTTCCTGCTATTTAAAAGGCTTATAATTCAGATAGTAGGATGCACCTACATAGGCAGTGTACATACACTCTGCTTGTTACACACAGGGACGTGTGGATGGGTTGCAGGTGGATGAAATAACACATCATTAATAAGGAAAATGTTAATGACATTCTGTAAAATGTGAACATAGCAGAGATCAGAGCAGAGCTGCTGTCAGATGCCCCATTAAGAGAGACGCTGTGCACATTTACACACGAGGAATAGCGTAACTTCATTGATTATTTCAGAAGCTAAAAGTTTAGTTCTGTTTCTTCTGTGAAGTCTATGAGTACAGCTTTAATTTTGATGCTTAAATGTCCAACGATATGTGCTGCAGTGACATAACTGCTTCTCCAATTTGCCAAATCTACTATGTAAATAGCAGTGCGTCAGGTGCAGGCACACCTGGCTTTTAAAGGGCATGGGAGATGACACTCAACCCAAAGATTTTCAGTTTAGTATTAGCTGTTTGAGCATCACATTCTCACTCCGACCTTTTCACATATTTAAGCAATATCACACTTAAGCTTGTGATGTTGTACTCGTATATCGTCACAGCTGTGATTTGGTCATAGGCACGAGATAACATCACGAGCTCAAGTGTGATATTGCTTTTATACAACAGTTCAACAGTTAAATAAGCAAGGCTGATTAAGAAATGTTGAAAAATTTAAGCATTTTATTTGTCTTCCGCCAACAAAAATAGTTCCCTCAGGACTCCGCTGTCACCACTGCTATGTAACGCAGACATGGTGCGCCAGGCACTTACTCTTTATAAACATTTATCTGCACGTTTCCATTAATTGTGCAGCCGGTGAAATAAGTCTCTGGTGACTGCATGGTGGACTGTCGCTTCACAGGCACAGCCGACTCTGCCTTCTGATCTGACAGTATGTTGCTCCGTCGTTTTCTGCTCTCCATGGATGGCTTCCAGTAGCTTTTTAACAAGCTCTCAGACCTGCAAGACAAAAGGTATATTTTAAGGCCCGACTCCTTATCAGAAGACTAACTTTACACATAGCCTAAGTTAAAACAACATCATACCTGTGCCCACTCACTGTCATGATCTCCCTCGCTTCAAGACCCGCATCTGACAGCTTCTGTATGGCAGTCGCCCTGAGGCTGTGATTGGTGTAGATAGCTGTTGTCCCCGCCTCTTTACACATCTTCGGCAGCATCTGTGCGAGTGAGTTTATTCCCAGCAGAGCTTTAGTGTACCAGATATTGTCTGTGTGAGCTGCCGTCATCCTGGGCTTCAGATAAAGGGCATTTGCATCTGGTGGAAGTTTGTTTAAATACTGTTCCAGGGATGCAATGCAACTGCTGACCTAACTGACACTAACCGTCAGTTTTGATTTGATTGTTGATTGCAATCAGCTGTGAGGCGGAGTGATACATACACAGTGAAATAACCATGATGCTGTACTCCAATATCATCACGGTTTTACTGTCTCTCGACCAATCAGATTGCAGGGCCGGAACTAACTATTATATAATGAGAGTTTTGGTCATGGGCTTTTTACTTCCACGTACGACAAACAACAAACACACATGGTTGGATTCAGGCAATAAAAGCCTAAGAAGCACAGGGGAAAGAAAAGAAAAGGAAAAACGAACAGGGTTTGGCTTTATGGCGGCCAGCCACAATTAAAACATCCACCGCCACAAATAGATTTTCTATCTTTGGAGATGGACCACTCATATGCTTGGTTATTGGAGTGCAGAGCATAGTCAGGGCAGAGATGGAACAGCAGAACAACAGGCACACTGAAAATGAACGCATTCAGCCTACTGGGTCTGAAAGTTTGCATTCACTCGCAGCAGCTGCTCCTCTCGGATCTGATCAGCTCTAAACGCAAACACCACTCTCTCAGGTGAAAGTCAGCGTTTGTTGGACTCATCCACCACCCCTCCTGCCCGCCCCATTCAGACTTTTGCCACCTTATTTTTCGTCCTTGTCCCGCTGCGTTTCCCCCTCAGGCTGACGATAGAGGACGCCTTTTTTCATTGGATCCTGACGCCGCAAGTCACTGCCCAAGCGCCAGATTTCAATGACTTCTGAGTGAGACCGGGCTTGTTTGAAGCGACTTAAACAAGTTAATTAGCAAATTGTTGCAGATAAATGATCTGGCCTTTTAAAAACTTGAGCACAATAAACCCGTTTATACAACACGCTAAACACAACTCAAGAGGCAGTAAGTGATTGGTCCTTCTGTATAAACAGCAGTCTATATATAAACATCACTTCATATATTCAGTTGTAGTGAATGTCAAAGATTTGCGGTGTTTGTCCGTCAGAGGGAATCCAGTGGAAATCCCACAGAGCCGTGAGGACACTGACCCTCACTCCCAGACATTTACACAGATTCCACATTTATACTGAACAGGACTCTTTGTTGAGCAGCTCCACACAAAGACGCTCCCTATGAGTGACACACAACTCTCCATTTCACAGCTCAGCCCATCTATTCACATCCTCCTGCAGCTCTGCCAGGATTATAATAATCCTCCCATCCAGCTGGAAATAAAGGAGCTAATGACACAAGACAACAGATACATATAGTATCAGGATGACAGCTGAAATTGCTGCAAGCTCTTGTTTCTCTATACTGTCGTGTAATGATAGGCGGAGTGATCCGGTTTCTGTCAGGAATCTGAAGTGTGATAATGTCAACAGGAGATGATCTCTGTCTCGTCAGGTAGAACAGGTTCAGAAATGGACAGAAGTTTCCTCAACTTCATCTTCTGCACTTTGAAAGGGAGATAACTTTAACAGTAATGTTGTTAACAATAGAAATCTTCACTTGCTACCAGTTGATAACCAACATGAGGTGTGCTTGTTGTGAGACAGTTGCTTAAGGGGTCTTAAAAGTCACCAAATTTATCAAGAAAGATGCTACGATCCTGTTCCTTTTCCCCACTGACGATGTTTGGTAGCTGACTGTTTGAGCTCCTCTGTGGCTTTGATGAAATGAAACTTTCCCAGTTGAATTATCAGCACAAAGGATGAACAGTTGCTTCGGGAAGTATCAGATTATTTGATAAAAACTCCCAGGTACAAGCCTGTGGACATAGAAAAGGAGAAAAAGAGAGAAGTGAACTGTCACTCCTAAGATGCATCTCAGCAAAAACCATCCAAACACAGCCTAAAATTCTGTTATGTGCATCACTAACGGTGAGCTGTAAAAGTAAAGATTGCCCTTCATCTTAAAATGAGAATGAGTAACTCTTGAAATAAGGAATAAGTGGTCATGTCCACCAAAGTGTTTTTTTCTAAGGCCGGAAGTTTTTAAATTCTTTGTAATGTGAGTGCTGCGAATTTATGCTACCTTACAAATGCCAACAGAGTGACAAGGTGCTAAGTGTCTATTCTGCGCTAAATGCTGCACCATTGACTTTTTTTTTCTGATCGCTGAAAATTGTTCATTTTGGGTAAACCGTTGCTCTCATCACTATCACTTTAGTAGGTTCCCCGTGCTCCCCTACCCATGGTGGTGGGTTTTATTTACAACTGCAACAACCAAGTGTTTCAGATTCACTCAAGCTCTGATTTGCAACTCTGACTGGTTTCTTCTCGACAGCAGCAGCAGCCGAGGCTCATGGGTATTGTGGTATATTCACAAAAAAAGTTGAAATGATTAAAACTTGACATTAAGGATCCTAAGAAGAGCACTTTCTGGTACCAGCGTCCCCTCACACATCACAGCTCTTCGTCTAATGTAGCTACTGTCTCTGCTCTCTGTCCAGGCGTGGTGTTCCACTACAGAGCCAACACCAGCAGATACACTCTGGATTTTTCTGAAGCTGTGGAGGCGTGTCGCTCCGTAGACGCCCACATCGCTACACCTGAACAGCTCGCTGTTGCTTTTGAGGACGGCTTTGATCAGTGTGACGCAGGATGGCTCTCCGACCAGACTGTCAGGTGTGTGTATATCTGCACCGTTTGTTTGATAAAATCTGTGTTGTCACTCCGTTTTTATCTGTCTTTGACATTTCTGAAACCAAGTGAGAAAAAATCTAAAATCAGGAACATCTCAATGTGTTTCTAATCAGTTTAAGTATTTTATAAAATTAAGTTTCATTTGTCTTGATTCTGCAGCGACCGCCTGCCGTATACTTTCTGTTTCATGACACTCATTAAAAACGGGTTTGAAAATGATCATTACACATGCAGAAGATCAGATTTGTAGGACTCAAACATTGTCAAAAATGTTTGATTTGTTTGCAGTTAAATCATGAATGTCAATTTTTTGTTTTTTCCAGGTACCCAATCACAGTTCCTCGTCCCGGCTGTGCAGGTAATCTGATGAGCAAACCAGGAGTGAGAACGTACGGCGTCCGTGACCCCACGGAGAAATACGACGTCTACTGCTACGTAGATAAAATACACGGTAAACACAAAGTACAGAAGTTATATCAGTATCATGTCTGTGTGTCTGAATGCAGAGTTGGAGTCAGAGCATTGTTAGCTTAGCTTAGCTTAGCTTAGCATAAAGACTGGAAGCAGGAGGAAACAGTTAGCCTGGCTCTGTACAAAAGTCCAAGAAACACTTACCAGCAGATTTAAAGTTCACTGATTAACATGATGTATCCCATATGTTTAATCTAGACACAAGCAGAAACATAAAAACTGCTTTAAGGGGAGTTAAATGCCGGACATAGTTTAACTATTTGAAACTAAAGTTATATATAAAAACAACAATGGAAAACATACAATACAGTGTCTTTATGTCATGTTTAAGTTTCTTTGGACAAAAGCTTTTGCTTTAATGTAATATTAATGCAGGATGTGCTGGTACCCGTGATGGGGCCTCCTTGGATTGGACTTAGCTCTGACCTGTGGAGACATGGACACAGGTCAGGGTTTCCCGCTCATTCATCTATTTATGGCGGCCTGCCACAATTAAAACATCCGCCGCCACAAATAGATTTTCTATCTTTGGAGATGGACCACTCATACGTTTGGTTATCGGAGTGCAGAGCAGAGTCGGGGCAGAGGTAGACTCACAAGTTAGTCTTTAGACGCTTTGCTTAAGTAAAGACTGATGTCTTTCTCCATGATTTTGTGTTTAGATGGGCGGATACAATTTCAGAGTTTAAAAAAACTCCCTACGTTGCAGAACCAGTAGTAAATCCGCAGGGTGGTCCTTCGGTGGCTCGCTGAACTCTTGTGTTCGTAAACATAGTCCGACTGCGTTAAAAGTTTTAAACAAAGTCGCTGTAAGTCCTTCATTTCCACAATCTTGTGGACTGAACACACGTTTGATAAAACAGAGTTAAATCTCTCGGCATCCATTTTCAAGCTCTCTGTATGTTTGTTTCCTTGCGGACGAGAAAAGGGGGAGCGCACATTTCCAGGAGGGCGTGTCCTTTTCAAAAATGCAAGAGGTGTTGCTTTGTTGCCGGCCGTTTTCTCCAGTGTGTTAAACACACTTTAGAAAGGAGTGTCCCCAGACTATCAGAAGGCGGAGATCTCTGATTGTCTGGTGGCGAGACTAGGGCAGAGATGGAACAGCAGAACACCAGTCACAATGAAAATGAACACATTCAGTCTGCTGGGTCTAAAAGTTTGCATTCACTCGCAGCAGCTGCTCCTCTCAGATCTGATCAGCTCTGAACGGCTCGACAGATCAATTATCCACCCTGCAAGCAACAAACTGCTGCTGAAGAGAACAAACTCATGGAGAGCTCCACCTACGTGGTGTTCACAGACCACAAAAACCTCTGAATTTAGAGAGAGGACACAGAATGATACACAGGGACACACTTTTAGAAGCTAAGCCACGAGAGGTGTGTTTGGTCTGCAGCAGTGTTTGGGTGTGTGGTGCGTGTCAAGGACCTAAAGTTTCTCAGCAGAACATTGCACTGATATGAGGTGATCTGTGTTTTTCACTCTACCTCTTGGTGGCTTCAAGAGTGGGCTGGTTGGTGTAAGTGTAACAGGGGCTTATTGCTTAAATCGTCACCTAGTAACTACATCTATAACAACTTGAGATGCATGAAGATGTGAACTGTAATATGAGCACAACATGTATCATTAACTGATGAAGCTACGTACCAAACCTTCAACTGACTTTGTGTGTCTCTTCTGTCTGTAGGTGACGTCTTCTACCCTCCCTCCCTCAAGGATAAAGTCACCCTGGAGCAGGCGAGACAAGAGTGTGTGAAGCACGACGCAGTGTTGGCGTCACCTGGTCACCTGTTCGCAGCCTGGAGGGCCGGACTCAACCGCTGTGACTACGGCTGGCTGTCTGACGGCAGCGTCCGCTACCCTGTCACCGTCCCCAGGCCGCAGTGTGGAGGAGGCCTGCTGGGGGTTCGCACACTCTACAAGTTTGAAAACCTAACAGGGTTCCCGGACCCCACTGACAGGCACGGACTGTACTGCTTCAAAGGTAAGACTGAAACACACAACTCTGCTGTCTGTTACTGTCTGACACAGCCTCACGTCATCAGGTGGATTTGTAATATCGGGGAGGACGTCTGGCAGCTCTCACCAGATATTTAAGTTACTGTTGTGGCTGGTGTGAAGTGCATCCTGCTGTGGGCTGTCAGAAGCTGCAGCCTGAATCACACCAGTGTGGAGACTCTGAGCAGCAGGAGGAGGGAGTGACGGACAGACGATACTTAGACGTTGTTCCATATGGTTAGGCACACGTTTTGGCACACAGGACTGAATGTGTAGCTGCTGTTACTCTTTGCAGCTTCACTGAAGGTGTTGATTCCTGTACTTAAGGTCTTTGCAATCCCTAAGCAAAGGGAATATCTTATAAATATCTTCCAAATGAAATGACCCCCCAGAATGAATCTGACACCTCTGTCAGCAGGACCACATCATTTATTAATTCCTCCCAAAACTGGAGCAAAAGTAAAATAGTTTTCTGATTTTCTGACGCAGAAAAACCCAAATAATTTGGTACCAACAATTGTGGTCGTGGTTATAAGAAATCAGTGTTGGGTGGAAACAGTAAGGGGGCGATCACACCGAGATGAAACACCAGAAACGCGACGTCAGTAAAACCATTGTTTTCCTATGATACGTCGCGTCTGACCGGCGTTCAAGCGTCTTTTTAGACGGCCATTTTTCCGGCGTTTTTGTAGACGTGTGTTTTTAGACGCGCGAAGACACTAATAAGTTAAAATATTTTCAACTTAGTAGCTAGCGCGCATTGAATAAGCGCTTCCAGTGTTTCAAGCGTCTTTGAAGCGTCCTCGTCTCTAGCGTTTCATTTCTGTGTGATCGCCGCCTAACAGCAGCCTCTGAATCTGACTTCGTAGACCCATCCAATCACTTGACTTCTACTTTCCGTTGGCTTTGTAGCTGTAGAACGTCACACTGTATTCCTTTGCTACCAGCAGACAAGAGTCATATATCTCATGGCCATTAGAGGGCTTTGCATGACGGCATATTAGAGCCATCGTTAGTAAAAAAAATAATAATAATAATAAACAAAAATGGGGCTGGGTGAGGGGATAATATTCCAATAAAAAAAAATCTGAATTTTCAAGATTTAAGTGGTAAACTCACGAGATAAAAACTTACAGATGTTCTGAGATTAATGTTGTAAATTTACTGGACAAAAAAAAATCTATCCAAGTTTTTCTTTTTGTTTTTAACCTGAATATTATTATATTATATATTTAACCCCTCCCTGAACTCAGTTTTACCTACAGCACACTGATATGCCACCATAGCTTTGTCACTGTAACGGAAACATGTGTAAAATACGTAGTGACGTGTAGTTGTGTGATTGATGACAAAAGACAGCTTGAGAGAGAAGTTGCTCCACACACCAATCAAACCAATCACCAACTGATTGGACTGTCAAACTGTCTGTTTCGGAGAGTTGTTGGAAAGGAGGTTTTAGACACCTCAAGACAATCCAAGCACTCAAGGAGTGATCCAACAGAATCCTCAAAAGCAACGAATGTGACAAATTCTAACTGACTCCTCTTGGAACATTTCTGGTTTTGTTCATGAGTGAGAAAGTGGAAAAGTCTGCAGGATTCATCACTGGAAGCTGTTTGAACTTATTGTTATATTGGGTTTTGCTCTTGTAGCTAAGGATACATCTGCAGCAGAAAATTAACTTAACAAAACCCCCTTAGAGCATTGATAAGCACATTAGTATAGAATCGTCTTTATTTAAGGATATTTCCTGAAGGGATTAGGGCTGCACAATGTGCAAAGAAAATCACACTGCAGCTACTTTAACAGATGTGATCGCGATATGAGGCCTGATTTTAGTGGTATTGATAAATTATTGCATTTCATTGTCACTTTTTCATTGTCAAACATGTTCCATTACATCTGGAATATGATTTGTAGGCCAGGGCGTCTCTGTAGCACCACAATGCTTCATTTATAAAGGCATGTGTGACACATTTTACCTTCATCGAAAACTTGCAGCTCCTGCAATTTAGATATTGCACTTGTCTTGGCCATATTATGATTTAGATAATATTTTGATGAACTGGGCGTAGAGATGCACCGATCCAGCTTTTTCAGTTTGGATACCGATCCCGATGCTGTGGCCACAGAAACCACTATTCAATGCAACTATCTGCAATCAGCACATAAATGTATCTCTATATCTCCCGTCACATCTGATGTCAGATCAAAGGGGATTGGCACAGTTTGGCACGTTTGGCACGTGTAATGGAAACCCAACCTGATTTGATTAACACAGCTGCAAACTAATGAGTTCACATCCCTCTCAGCCAACCACAAACAGCCACAGCATCAGATAGGGAGTATATATTCAGCATCTGTCATCTTAGAAAAGTCAAAAGAAAAGAAACAGAGTGAGACTGCGAGAGAGAAAGAGAGAGAAACGCAACATTGATTTACAATTGTGGTGACCTCCTCCCAGGCTACCTTTGCATCATCAGCCCGTGGAGGTCTGCTCGCAGTTCCGTATATTCGGACACTGCGAGCTTGGACCTCCCGGACCAAAACATCTGTTTCCTCCTGGGAGAAGTTTGGCCGTCTGACACTGCTGCTCTCTTCTGCCAAGGCGAATTGAGTAAACTCTCATTACGCCTTTGCGCGGCGCATTTTAGGGCGAGGAGAGGTGCTCATTTGATTGGTGTGATGTGAATTGGCTGTGTAAAACCCACTCCACGCCTTCTTTCCTCCCTCTTTCCGACTTGCGCAGGTAGGAGGGACGGAGGTGGGATAGAGGAGTAGCTGCGCCAGGCTCACGGTGTGCCAAACTTACAAAATCCGCCTGGCCACACCCAGTTGGCGAAGCGCAGGTGCGCTGCCTCGCCTGGTCTGCGAAACTAGAGGCCGATATATGTACCATAGGGTGCACTAGGGCCCGTTGTAACTACCGTACGTCACTGGTCACCTCTTTGATCCATTGGTTGTGTGATGGAGGGGTTACATCCTTAGATTTTAATGGAATTGAGAATCTAGCTAGTAGAGAGGAAAAGAAAAGGCAACAACCATCGTTAAGTGAGCAAGGACCCCAGAATCATCTGGAGCTGAGAGTATTTCCTCCACTTCCATTTAATCATCGACACAGATTCAGTCCAGCTCTCTGCCTTTGTGCACACTCCAGTCTGACTCTCCTCCAAATGTCCAAATCACTGAAGGTCTTGATTCGTGAGGTCACAAGAAGTCTGCAGCTCCCCACATAAACGCTGAGGTGTGTTGCAGCACAAACATGCCACAATGTGCGGCCGTCTAAAAGCAGCGGGGCGTTTAGATGTGGCAGCAGAGGGAGAACAAACCCAAACAACAGGAGAGTAAACTCCCACTGCCCTGTTTATGGTGGGCCACGCTCTTTTTTTTTTTTATGAGGGGAAAACCCAACTCATGCACTCTAACACAGATACAGCAGAAAGGGGACAGGTCCCTAATGCTTCACAGCTGGACCCTGCCCAAACACACAGACAGACAGACAGACAGATGGAGGGAGGGAGGAGAGAGGAGGAGGAGTGCAGATCTCCCATAACTAACATCAACATTAAAAACCAGAAATCAGAAACACAAACCTGTAAAAAGAGCGTCTCTATTAGTGCGGTGTGAAGGAGGTAGGAGCCGAGAAGGAACCGATTACACACGTCAGCTCTGATGCCCTACACATGACATAATTGCAAACAGTCGCATGTTTGGCGCGGAGTAAAGGTACTTTCTGAACCTGACGGCTGTGTAATGTGTTCTGCCAGGCGCTGAGTGAGGTGGCAGGGCCGCAGGAGGCAGACGCAGAGGTAATGGTACAGTGAAGTGACAGACCCCAGCCCAGCCAGATGACTGCAGCTCGCCAAACACATGACATCATATCTGGGCTGGGCCGAGCGGTGCGAAAGACCAGAACACAGCTAATCCCTCAGAGACTGCAGGCCAGTTAACACCTATAGTATGTGAAGTGGTGGAAGAAGCACTCAGAGCAGCCTGAAGATACTCTGTTAGTCCTGCGTTAAAACCTTCTCAAGTATCAAAGTATTATCAGAAAGGTGCGAGTGTTGACAGGCAGCTGCGTGACATATTGGAGCACTTACACTTCCATTGTGAACATGGCGTCACCTTTCACACATTAAAACATGAAACAAACAGAAATGTTTTTTAACACGGGTTTTCCATCATTTGAGTTTCAGCTGGAGCTCTTTTAATGACATCATCCTGTTGTGTCCTCTTCTGCAGTGGTGTAATGGCATACCATGCAGGACTTGTTGTTTACTGTTAGTAACGGTGGTGCAGTGGTTAGCATTGTCACCCCACAGCAAGAGGGTTCCACCCCCCATCTGGTGTTGAAGCCCATCTGTGCGGAGTTTGCATGTTCTCCCTGTGTCAGCGTGGTTTTCCTCCAGGTGCTCCAGCTTCCTCCCACAGTCCAAAGACATGCAGGTTAATTGGTGAGCGTGTTGAAAATGTTGAAAAATGTCGGTCTGTCTCACCCAAACCCCAAAATTACGTCATCTAATGTCTTGTTTTATACTCACGCCAAAGGGTTTTAGTTCACCGTCATGGGAGAGTGTGTAAAGCTGCCAATATTTGAACGTAAGAAGCCGCAATAAGAGAATTTTGGGGTACTTTTATACTACTTTTCTATGATTCAAACCGATTAGTCAACTACTAAAATAGTCACCAATTATTTTAAAAGTCGATTAGTCATCGATTAGTCGACTAATCTTTGCAGCCCTAGCTGTAAGCTGTTAGCTGTTAGCTGTTAGCAGTTAGCAGTTAGCAGTTAGCAGCAGGTGGCCAGAACTAACAGCTAACAGAGGTTACACTGAGTTACATAATGATACGGTCAAGCTCTATTCAGTCAAAATGACAATTGGGCTAAGGTAAATTCTAACATTCTCATGATGTGTTCAATGTGATCTTGTAAAATGTAGTTTTTGGCGAGAAACCCAGATAAATACAGCTGCTTAAAGGAGAATG